GCCGCTTGACATGGAGCAATACAACGCGCAAGAACTTGCAGAAAGAAATTGCAAGGTCAAATCCTTGCATGCAATAAGCATTGCATGGTATTTGACATGGTGCAATTCTATTTCAATTGCCACATGTCTGCCAACAGAAGAAACATATGGATTTGTCAACAAAGTAGTTAACCTCAAATGAAAATTAAATTTTGATTGCTTGAAGAAACGTGAAAATTAGAAGAATAAATAAGATTAATAAAAACAAGTAATGAGTGCGTCTCTCAGCATCATAGTTGCCGCCGCTGTATTTTACTAGGTTGGTGACACAAAAACAACTAGATTTGTCCCTAGAATTGCACGATTCATGCAAGAAAAATAGCACCTGTCCTATAAAAATTGCATGCAAGTCTCTTGCAGCAATTGATCAGCTGGCTTTGAACTGCGCATGCCTTTCGCAATTTTTCTTGCAACTTGCATGCAATTGCAATTTTTATTGCTCCATGTCAAGCGGGCTTTACACTGTTGTGGACCTTTGTATAAGTTTATAATTTCAATTTTCATCTCTTTAGACAGCATTTTTGAAGTTTATCTGTAGGGCGGTAGATTTGAAGTGACAGTTGTACATTACACCTACTACGCATTTGTGCTGCTCCTATATGTCGACGCGTTTTTTTTTTAATGGAACATAGGAAAATAACATTGCACGCAAAATCGTATGTTCCAGTTTAAGATAAACGCACTGTATAACATAGCAACCTATTATAACCACAGCCATCTATAATTACGATGGCTGTGTTTGAATGTGTATGCAATTGCAACACGAACTTACGTGACTGCAATGGTCTTAAGGTACTGCAACTCTTATCATTGTTTATTTATAAACAATGCTCTTATATTCCCAAATAAATTCCCAATACTCAACAATTAATGTCTGGTTGCCCTGGGATTTCAGCCTGTATTGTTGAATGGTAAAATAGATTTTTGATAAACAAAAACAGATTTGTAATCCATTTTTATTTATAACTTTGTTGTTAGGTATGGATGGTGATAATGACACACTACTCATTAAAATCGAACCAAAACAAGAAGAAGAAATCCATTCCTCTCTTCAAGGACATGTTTCAGTAAGCAACGAAGTTTTGGTGACAATAAAGGACGAAATTGCCATTAGTACAGCGTGTTCTAAATCTCTTTATGATGAAGAACAACAACATTCTAACTTTCACCTTTTGACTCATTGTAAAACAGCGCCTAAATATTTTAAATGTGCAGATTGTGGTTATGAGACACACAAGAAGTGTAACTTTAACCAACACCTATTAACACATAAAGCTTCTAAGAGTTTTAATTGTGCTACTTGCGATTATGGGACAAATAACAAACACCTCTTGAAACGACATCTCTTAAATCATAAAGTCTGTAAGGATTTTAAATGTGCCGATTGTGATTATGGCACAAATGACAAATGTGTCTACAAACAACATCTACTAGTACATAAAGTTTCTAAAGATTTTAAATGTGGTGATTGTGGTTATGGGACAAATCGTAAACACGTCTTCAAAGAACATCTTTTAACACATAAAGTTTCTAAGGATTTGAAATGTGTTAATTGTGATTATGAGACAAACAAGAAATTTAACTTTAACCAACACCTTTTAAAACATAAAATTTGTACAGATTTCAAATGTGCTGATTGTGATTATGGGACAAATGTTAAGCGTAACTTCAAACAACATGTTTTAAAACATAAACTCTCTAAGGATTTTAAATGTGCTAATTGTGATTATGGGACCAATGTAAAACGTAACTACAAACGACATCTTTTAAGACATAAAATTTCTAAGGATTTTAAGTGTGCCAATTGTGATTATGGAGCAAATGATAAACTCATCTTCAAGCAACATCTTTTAACACATAAAGCTTCTAAGGATTTGAAATGTGCTACTTGTGATTATGGGACAAATAATAAACACCTCTTCAAACGGCATCTTTTAACGCATAAAATTGCTAAGGATTTCAAATGTGATACTTGTGATTATGGCACAAATGATAAACACAACCTCAAACAACATCTTTTGAAACATAAAGTTTTGAAGGATTTTAAATGTGCCGATTGTGATTATGAGACAAACACGAAATATATCTTTAACCAACATCTTCTAACCCATAAAGTTTCTACGAATTTAAAATGCGGTAATTGTGATTATGAGACAAACAAGAAATATAACTTTAACCAACACCTTTTGAAACATAAAATTTCCAAAGATTTTAAATGTGCTGAGTGCGAATATGGGACAAATGTTAAAAGCAGCTTCAAACGACATCTTTTAATACATAAAGTTTCTGAGGATTTTAAGTGTGTTAGTTGTGATTATCGGACAAATGTTAAACGTTACTTCAGACGACATCTTTTAAAACATAAAACTACTAAGGATTTTAGATGTGCAAATTGTGATTTTGGGACAAAAAGTAAAAGCTATCTTAAACAGCACCTTTTAAAACATGAAAGAGTCAAAAGTTTTTAAATGTGCTATATTATGAGATATAATAGATTGTACTTTGAGCAACACCACCAGGCTTTATCTTTAAATGGGCAGGGTTTCAGCCAAGGCTGCTTTACCAACCCATCTCACTATACATTTACAAATATCCATGTCCGAATCCGGATTCGAACCAGAGACCCTAGTCGAATCCATACAGTTGGACGATTCTTGTCATGAAGAACTACTTGTATTCCTGATGGATTGAGGCTTGGGTCGCTACATCAAACTGATACACCACAGGTCAGTGCAATGTCGAAGATTTCTAATGGCGACCCTCTCTGGAATGTAGTGAGGTGGACTGTGCTCAAAGAGTATATACAGGGTAGAATACCTCACAATGAATGAATAGCAATTAAATCTTTTTATTTGACAAAATCAACATATCAATCTTCTTCACTTGAAGAAGCCTCTTCTGCTTGTTGTAACCAATTAGTAAAAGGTTCAACTCGAGCATAAAATCTTGTGTTTTTGTCAATTCCAGAGAACCAATTCAAAATTACATCCTCGGAAAGGTGGTCCTTATTGTACAACCAATTTAACACAGCAGAAACACACTCGTTTAGTTCATTGTTATTAGCAGCTACATCCTAAAAAGTGGCACGAAATGAATTAATTTCAAATTCATGATTAAGGAACATTGATTAACATGAAACAAAAAGGCTTACCTCAATTGCTTGAAGACAATCAACCATGGCGGAAATGTTACGAATATAATTCTTCAGGATCGGTGAGAAGTAATCCAACAATGGCCGTAATGAAGGCAAATAAGGTTGTCCAAGATATAATTGAAAAGGTAACATCAATATAGCTTTTATAACGTTGAAATTTACCTACAAACAAAGGGTTTTGTAATCGATCAATGACTTAGAGCAAGATTTTGAACATAAATTCAAAATGATCGAAAAGAAATTCACCTCCTTAACTGAAACGTTATAAGCATATCGGGATGAATTTATTTCTAGTATTAAATTATCGCACTGTAATTTATCTTCAAAACCTCTGGTAAGGCTGTCGACAACTTCGGTTAAGAATACTGAAACAAAGATTGAAAATATTATTAAGCGTAAGCACTAAATTTTGATTTATAAGGTAAAAGCATTGTTAAGCACCTCTTACTCCCAACCCGTGCATCTCAAACTTTGCAAGCGTAAGAGCAATAGTTAAAATATAGTCAATTCTACCCCATACCCAATTAAAACAACAGGCACTTTATGGACTTACAATTTGTATCATCTGGGACAGGTGAGATTGTATACGACAAATTATCTTCACTTTCAGATGACTTAACACTCTCATCATCTGACGGCTCGGTCTCATCGGGCATATATAACCTCGAAAGTTTTCTATGCAAACCGTCGTCTTCAGCATCTGATTCAACGCTTTCCTCTGGCTTTATGTGATAAGCATTTTTAGCTAACTTATTGCTTGCCACTCCTAAAAGTACAAGATATTGTAAATTCATCTACAGGCTGTTTAAGTTCTTTGCGACCAACTTAAAAATAATAATGGCAAATAAAAGCAAGTGAAGTACCTAAGTATACATTTAAGACAATGACTCCAGTTTTAGATTGTGAAACAAAACAGTGAATGAAAAAGTAGCAGTACTAATCTCATATTCTTCAACTTCACTAGCAGGGTTCTGTGGGAGAAGCAAATGCAAGGAAAACGAATGCCAAAATTGAATAATGGACCGAGGCAAATTAAAAATCCCATTTAAGATCTTGAAATACGAGGAGAAAAAAACATTTTGGCTTGCTGTAGGTTTTGGATAAAACACCTATGCCAATAGTGACAATTTTAAGTGGGTATGGTATGGAGTCACTTGAGCCTGATGGGTTTTGGCAGTTGGCCGGGGTCACACTTTAGCAATTGTCCCTGGTCAAATTTTGGCAATGGGCCAAATGTTGGTAAGTGGCCTGGGGGTGCAAGACCATATTTCGGCTGATGACTTGGGGTCCGAAATTTCGGCAGTTGGGTAAGGATGCGAGATTTCGGCAGTTGGCCCGGCGTTCTATTCCGGTAGTGGCCCACGGGAAGTGATTCGGCAGTTGGTCCGCCAGAGGTATTTCGGCCTACTGTCTTGGTTGCTGGATCCACCATCTTGGATGCTGGGCCCGTCACTTTGGCGCCGATGGTGATTGCTGAAAAAAATTTTTATTGCCTTTGAGATTCGAACCCACAATACCTAAAATAGATGACTAGCGCGTAACCAGTTGAGCTACAAGACTAACAATTTTACAATTAGAGATTAAAGTAAAAAAAAGACTTGTACTTTGAACTTTGGTCTTTTCGCAAACTGTACAAAACTGCATTTATTTGTAAGAATTTTATAATTAGAATCGCGAATTATAGTGGAATGTGTAATAGTTTGCATCCAGTGCATCAATTGAAAAAAAATGAAAGTCCCCTACACCTATACCAAATTATGTTTCTAGATTTCTACCAGAATTTTCTTTGTGCTATAAATAGACTTCCGGTGACGAAAATAACAGCTCATACAGTATTTAATATTTATTACCTATATGAATGTAAATACAAAGGCGAAGAAGTTACATTTTTTTGAAACAATACCCCCTCTATAAATTACTCAACATGTTGTACAGGGTTATCGCAAAAAGGTGAATTGTTGATAGGTAATTCGATTTATATGCACAAAGGACATGTAGGGTATCATTTACGAAAATCTTAACCGTTATTTTCACCGTTCTTGGAAGTACAAATGTTGGTGTAAAGTCCAAAGGTTGGTTACTGGTCCAAGTCCATTACTCACCGTTCAAAGTCCAAACGCACCTCGCCCATCAAGGTCCAACGGTTAGTAACCAGTCAAAATCCACGCAGAGGTAGTGAACAAATTCTTTCATATAAAGTACGTAGAAAATTTAGAAATTTTTTTATGTCTTACTAACCTATCATAGCACATTTTATATCTGTGATACGCGGGCATAAAGTGTTTATGCCCTAGGGCATTAAAGATCACCATAGTAATTCATTTATACTTAATGACAAAACAAACAAATATTTGCAGGTCATTGAAAATTAGAAACGTCAATTATTAATTGTCAATACCTACTAAATCACAAGATTGCCCTTATTTCGTATAGTTTCTGGAACTTCTTGCTCATTCACGATGAATTGAATTATTTAAAATTACGTTTGACGTTTGGATGGTTTCAATCACATTAACAAATTCGAACCTCGCATACTCGATCAAACATAATGAATTATTTTGTAAACGAATTTTGACGAAGAAAACTATTTGTAAAACATAAAATTGTGTATGTACCACGGGCATAAACTGATGTTTATACTCTCGGGGCGACTAAAAAGCTCTCAGGCCCTCGAGCTTTTTAACTTGTCGCCCTCGACAATATAAACATCACTATTATGCCCTTAATACATAAATAACTATTATACAGACTGAGGCTATACCATTACACCACTAACAATAATTGAAGGATTGTAATGCAGAATTTTTTCTACACGCATTCCAATGTAAGAGACTTTCTCATACAACCGATTTATCAAGTATTTGGCATCTTGATGTACATTTTCGATGGTTGCAGCTTCCTTGTTCTCCGTCAGTCATTTTATTAATAAATATTCGGTAAAAGGAAGTGAAATTGTAGCAGTTCTAATCGTGAGTTTATTACCTGACCAACTCCTCAATCTCATTCTTTCTTTATTATACAACACGAAATAGTTCAATACTGATGGTGGTTATAATTTTATCTTCCCTAAATTTCCAGTTATACAATAAGCCCGAAATTCAACAGCCTATGAAGTATACAGGCTGTCCGTTTTTCGAGCACCAACATGGGAATCAGGGCATCTGGTTATTTGAAGAGATGCAGTGTAGTTTAAATTGGGGCAAATTTGCGTATTTTGGAGCCCAATAATATACCAATACGAAAATTCGGACGTCATCAGAGGTTGCAGTTTTTTAAAAAATTTTCGATTTTCCCTTTTACTTCGGAAACCACAAAACGTAGAAGTTAAATTGTACGATGGTCAAGATACACAATTAAAGAATTATTATCATGCTTTCAACAAAACCAGAAAATTCAGATTACTTCCGAAGATATGCCAGAACAACCGAAATTTACCCATTTCGTTTTTATTTCTTCTGAAGTTATTTGAACAGATACAAAAAAATAGCAAACTCTTTCTCATTGCTACTTTACCGTATTACTGTATTGAGTAGCATTCTAGCGTTATATCTGGAGATCTAGAAGACCAATACTGCGCATCTGTAGACCGATCCACTTGTCTTCCAAAATGTTCAAAGACATACCTATAAGCATCATGGCTAGAATGAGCCGGTGCTAGCTCTAAATCAAAATTTAAATATGTAGCATCAAGTCAGTATTGTTGATTTTGGAAGAGTTTTTGAAATTAACAGTCACAGATACAGGGTACTGAAGAAAAGCAGTCAAATGTCAAAAAGTTTGAAAAATCTTGAATAACTTGAAAACCTTTGATGCCGGGTATAGCGAAATGTGGTATCAAGCGACGTAGATTTTCATGTAATCTCAAAAATCCAACAAAATACAAGATGTTCTATTTAAAATAACACATCCGGTATAGCCGGAAGTGAAACGATCATGATAATATTTTCTTTCGATAGATTCGAGGATAGATTATAAAAAACTATGTTCGTATGCAATTTTTCAGATTTAAATTATTAATGGGAGTGTGAATACTTTTAGGTAACGGTTGTATATTCGCAATAAATCTTTAAAACGTAATTAATTTTTTTAGAAGCGTTAAAATTACCATTTTTGAACTATGTTGAAAATTACTCTTTTTATTTCAGTATACAGCACAATCTTTTAATGGGATTCCATATGAAGAAACTTTTAACTTGACATTAATCTCACACCTGAATATGATCCTCACCTTGATAAACAACATTTGATTTGGACTTTGCCCGCAACCAACCTTTGGACTTTGAACACCTGGCAACCTTTGAACTTTGAACAAATTGTGCGAAATGGTACTAGCAGCAGATTGGTCGGGATTATTACGTCATAGCGCTCGCCACAATCATCTCGTTTTGAATAAACTTCTAATACCGCACATGTTTATTGTTTTTTTTCTACTCAGCCACTATTTTTAAATTAAACTTTTACGGTCCAGAAAATTGTTTTATGGTTTCAGGTATACGCTTATTAAATTAGAACTACGGAATTCAACTATACTGTAAACCCCCACCCCATTGTAGCAGACCAGTCAGTCTTGTCGCAGTCATGCCGAGTACAACCAAAATGCTGAATGTGTGTGATTCTTATGCAGTGACGTTTTCGGGCAGTGTATGGGGATGCAATTGTACCATGATTCAGAGGACCTGGGGCGGAGGTCATTTAGTCACAAGGCGGAGGTGATTTCCAATTAAGATAAGTTTTTAAAGTATATATACTTGTATGAGCTGTTAGGCACATTCCATCATACCATTGGAAGTCTATTCTTGGCACAAAATTCTTGTGGAAATCTGGAAACGCCTTCCATTTTTTTAATTGGCGCACTGGATGATAAATATTAAAACGGCAATAAAGACGTTAAAGTATCACATTCCGCTGCAATTCGCGATTCTATTTATAGAAATAAATGCACTTATTAAGGCTCTGTAGCGTAACTGGTTACGCCCTACCCTACTAATTCAGGTATCCTGATTTTGAATCCCAAAGCCAATAAAAAAGATATTTCCACCAATCAACGATGGCGCCAAAGGGTCGGGTCCAGCATACAAGATGGTGGGCCCAGCCGTCCAGCAACCAAGATGGTGGGCCAACTACCGAAATACCCCAAGCAGGCCTACAGAAATATGACCCAGCACTTCAGGGTTAACTGCCGAAATTTGACCTTGCACGCCAGCTAAATGCCAGAATTTGACCTTTGCCAACTGCCGAAATGTTTTCCCATGGTCCAAAAAATTTTTTCATGCACAAAAATTATCCGTAACAAAAAAGTTCGAAATGCTTTAAGAAATCAACCTAAAAATTCCATTTTGGTGTTATGAATGCAAGAAGATCGATTCTTACTGAATGGTACTTTGGTACATGATATAATTATGCCATTCGTTCTAGAGAACTGTACTGAAAATACTCAGAATGATTTCCATGTAGATAAATGATAGGACAGTTTTTAGGTCTGTAGTACACATACTCCAATGTCACTAAAGCATAGAATTTCTTATGAAATAAGAAGAGATTGAAATTTTCCTTGCTTTACTCGACCTTGATATAGAATGAGTTAAATTTTATCTGTTGGATCCGCCTAACGCCGCTAATTTACTATCCTTAATATATAATTAACGAAGTTTGTCCCAGAGGGCGCTTGCTGAGAAGCTTTGTTAAACGCTTCAAAAAGCATTGCAATCTCTTATTCATATTTCTTATTCAGCTCACGTTTTAAGAAGGTTAGTGTCGGAACCAGTCTCCCTTATAAGCATGAGTAAAAAAAATAATGTGTGAACAGCAGAACATCTAACAGTTGGAAGTGTTATAGAGATGGGAGAAAAGTAAATAAGCACATATAAATCACCTACCTGTTTTAGATGAGTGTGATCGAATCAAATAGTTTTCAATGATAGAATTTTCAGGTAAAACAACTCCTTTCCCTATTACACTCGCCTTTGTAACTATACAACCTGTTTCAAGAACACACTTCTGTCCTATTATACTATGCTGAATAACAGAATTATCACCGATCACAGTATTAGAAAATACAAACGAGTCCTCAATTATAACATTATCCCCAATTTTAACGGATTCTCCGATAATCGATCTTGATATTCTCGTTTTGTCACCAACAGAACTGCCTCCACCAATTATTACGTCCTCAATTAAGCTATTGCTTCTGGAAATTTAAGTAGCTTTAGTGACAAACTAAACACAACCACTTACTGTGTTAAATGTACGTCCTTGCTGCGATACACGTTGTTTTGCAAGTGAATGTAACTCCGTTGCTGACTGGAAATTCCCATGTCGGGCACAAGAGGATACAACCATCGATGGAGAATATCTCGACTACAAACAAATAATGCCAAATAATTTTTTCTCGGAGAGTAACTCTACTCAAGCTTAGTTTAGTGGGCGTATTAATTGTTAGGATAAACGGAGGTCGCTCGGGCAATTTGCAAAGTAAAATTACGTCAAACTTTGAGAATGCTCTCTGAATGTTGAAGGTGCTTTTGGAAAATATAACCTCTACATTCATCTAGAGCGCCTCATCATTTGTTCTACTACTACCAAGCCTCTAATACCTGATCACTGGCGTAATTGAATTATTTGGGTTTTTGCAATTTTTAAAATTATTTTTTAAGTTTGGATTTGATTCAACATAGAGACATTTACACATATACCACTTCACAGCAAACGTGAATGAAAGTATGTCGGGAGATAAGAGCGATAACCGCCGCGAACTTGGAACAAAACGCAGGCTCAACCATGTTGCAAGTTCTGAAACCGTCGCTACAGAGAGGTGGCCTATGTAGAAAATATAAAGGACTCGCCGGTTTCAAGCGGGTGAGATACAAATGTCGAACGTAACAGCAGAGCCCGCATTCTGAGCTCGGCTACGAAAGCAAACACGTACCATTAGTTTGTGGAATTTTATCACATAGCCATAAAGTATTAGCGGCTTAAATTTAAGTAAAAAAACAAATTTATGTATATCTTTTTTGTTCATTATAATATTATACAGGGAGATCAATAATCATATGCTGCGCCGCTCTTATAAAATATCACATTAGTAATCATTTGCCGCAACCAGGTATATGTGCACCAATACAAAACATAACCTATAATTTTTATTACCTTCATCTTTTCAAAACGGCGTTTTTAAAGACTACCAGATTCTTTTGAATATTTACAAGGTGGGTAAATTACTAATAAATTATAAACAAACGTTTTTTTTAGTTGTAGCGTGTAAAAGGTAATAGGTTTACTCTGACATGCCTTTTACTTTAGAAGAGAATAAGATGCATTTGCAGTCCTGTTTCCGTAATCTAGACGAAAATTGAGTTTGAGAGTACTCGATACGTTTGTGTATACAGGAGTTTCGAAAAACCTCTTCATCAAAGTCCGAAAAAGCCGCTACGACAAACGGGTATCTCATACGGAACGTGTCACACTACTGTCTGGAGAAAATTGTACTTCTATCGTTTAAAGTAACCGTGTTACAAGAACTCATCGTTCAGATTTACAAAGCCGTCTAAATTATATGCATGCAATTGGTTTAATGCAAATTTACGAGATTGCAACGTATTCGGAATCGCTTACACACTATTGCCAAATTACGAACAGGAAAGCTGCCGTTTGAAACATGACGCAACAGTAGTTACATTCCGTCTTGGAAAACATGAAGAAAAGAGTGAATCCCTGTCTTAATAATGGTGGCGAGCACTTCGAACAGTTGTTATAGTGTGCATGTAATTTACGCAATTACTTCAATATTAACGAGTTGTAAAAGAAATAAAATCGTTTCAATTTTTGTAGTAATTTGCTATTTGTGTAGTTTCACATAATTTGGACATTCACAAGGTGCTCAAATCGTTCATTTAGATTAAATATGGTTAAACGTTAAAAGTTTACTTTGGTTTGAAGTTTAAGGTTATGTTTTAGTATTGGTGCACCACGCTTGTTGCGGCAAATGATTACTAACGTCATAATTTCTTGAAGCGGCGCAGCAACTCAATATTGATCGCACTGTATCAGGATTAAGGCCCGGTTGTACAATGTCCGGTTGAACTTCAGTTTGGTTTAACCGACAGATTTGAGAAATACGATTGACCAACTTGTGAAATATTAGCTAATCAAATCCTTTAACCCACAATTCAACTATAAACTGAAGTTTAAACTAACATTATACAACCGGGCCTAATTGGCACAGGTTTTTATGTGTGCAATAAAGACGATAAAGTCCAAATGATTTTACATTGTGCGATTGTGCATTAGGCTATACAATCATTTTAGATATATCCATGAGCTATCGTCGATTAGCCATAGATGTTGACATCTCCATCATTGTCACTTGTGAATTTGATCTTGAACTTGTGCAATAGTAGATTGTTTCCATCACACAAATATTGTAATACAAAACCACAGACACACAAATTACGTAACTTCATAGTACCTAACCCATTGATCTTGACATACTTTTACTTTCTCCGGCTTCCAAGTGAAGACGCACCTGTACAGTTCGTTTAAACAATTATACTTACTTGACTACAATGTATTGGCGACGAAAAGAATAGAACGCAGCAAACAATAATGCAAAATAAATTAAATAAATTAAAATAAGGTAATGGCATTTTTATCACACTATAGTCCGCAAGACTGTAGGCACTTAAACTAAACAAAAGAGAACCATACTACATCAGTAACTAAAAACAAGCAGGTAAACAATCTTATTACTTGGCACACCGGTGCTTTCACCGTCTATGAACTTACTGCTTCTTCTTTCACTTTAGATAGAAGAAAGTTATGGTAAAAGTGGGGAAAGGACGTTTTTACTTCTTATACGTCTATATATGGTGTATATAGCATTAAAATTCAAATAGCCTTCACCCATACTATCCACATGTAGTCAATGTGCTCTCGATTTAATATTTCGTTTATGCGTCTTGTAAGTATACGAATGAATTATTGCACAATACAAGGTACCTATTTAGCCTAGGTACATAGGTACCTACCTACTGACTGAGAAACTGCACCTTAATGTAAACATTCCAAGAAAACTCTTTGTGTAGATCCCATCTGTTGTAAATGCTACTTAATAGACCGAATCATTGAAGAAAGCAATTGTTATAGTGGGTATTTTAGTAATAAATACCTTCACGCGCGGACATAGTAAACTTGTTTGATTGACATCAAAGAGAAAACGACTATTTCCTTTTAGCAACGATTTTGATTTTTAAACGGTTTGGTTTTAATTTTTTACGCTCATTGGGCACGCTTACTTTAACGATATTAGTCGTACAATCAAATGCACGAAATTAACACAGAAAAAATCTATTGCACCTAATTTTTGCAAATCAACCTTTCCTTCGCAGAATCAAATTAAAGAAATGCGGTCATTGTATAATTAACATTATTTGCCGTAAATATGCAATTTTTAAGTTGAGAGAGAGAAATGTAGGTGACCGTATTTGGAGTTTTTCCGTGTTTTTAATTACAGAACGAATCAAAGTGTGTAAAATTGTCTTTTGATATTTTTTTTAATTATGCGGGCATAGAGCGTAGTTGCGTGATGGCTCATATGACCTTTATAATATTGGCTAATGTAGAATTAAATTTATTATGTGCAAATTGGGGTCCGTACTGCTCTCAGAACTTTATAGTGGAATCGGTATCGAGTACAAAATAATACAGTAAAATATATGAGGCGCATCGAACAATTTTTAATAGACTTACTGATCGTCGAAGGAGACATACTCGTGTTTAACAGTACTTTTGAATTCAATTTTTTTTAACCTCCCTCATCTCCACTATACCCGAATGAAAAATCGTACCCTTCATGAAATACCAAGCTGTTCAAAATTTTTACTAATCAGGTAAATTTGAAATTCCGATTTACTGCATATATTTGAACGTAGGGAAAAAGTTGTTTACAGTTTACTAAGTTCTGAAAATACGTTATACATTTATCAATATCATCATATTTCAGGGAACGAATGTTTTCGACTTGATGGCGCCACAATACTGCTCTAGAAGGACCGACACAATAAAATACTGTAACGTGATTTATAAATTCAGGTTCGATTTATATCAATGTTTATTAAACAAAACTAAAACACTATAAAAACTGTACAATTTATATCGACTATTTATATTACACACTTCGCAATTTATATCAGATTTTCGCGCTCAATGTTTCGTCGGTACTCGATCTCGTTCGGTAGTAAAACTTACTGCGATGTTCGGTCCGCAATCATTTATACACGCAAGCAATGTAAGTCCAGAACACTCGCGTAATTACTGGATAGTCTCGAATATTCCTATACAAATCCCACTATCGCGCGCGTAGAAAATTCCAGAGCGCCAAAGGCGACGTCATGTCTGGAGCGTTTCCGTTACAATACTAACGCAATAATGGAAATTCTTTACTTGCAGATCGCCGTTGTTTTGGCAAATACCTGTTCAATAGCGTTTAGAGAAACAGTATGACCGTTTTTCAGTGTGTTTAAAAAAGAGGCCACTAAATGTATTTTTCACCTGAATGTAACAAATACTTTAGAATTACCATATTATTTAATAACTTGCTACGTCAACAGTAATGAAGATAACATTTATACTATAACAATGATTCGGGATTCCGTTCCGTATGCACAGAAATTTGTACAGTCTAATCCTGTTCAAAACCACCTGCTTAACCCCATACAGTCATCTACACATCCATCTCCAAAATATATCCTCCTACTTAAACTACACATTACCGAAAATCAGCACACCTACACGACACAAAATAGCGCCATGGACAATGGAACTACCACAAATAAACACTCATCTAAGAGCATACACACAAAAAAGTGACAATCCCCAAATAATAAAACAAACATTTAACAGTATACTAGAGAACTACAAAAACTTTGAAAAAATATATACGGACGCGTCCAAACTAAAAGATCAAGTGTCGGCAGCTTTCATCCACAATCAACAAGAACGCTTGTACAAAATACAACCAGAGACAAGCATCTGCGTAGCAGAAATGGTAGCCATCAAAGAGGCACTTATCTACATAGCGACCATCCCAAACAGAAGACGATATCTTATCTGCACAGACTCTCTAAACAGTACACACATCCTCCGGCACGTCTACCCACCAACCCCAATGTGTTACGATATAGAGCACAACTGCACATCTTAAAGTTAAAAGGAATAGAAGTATCCTTCATGTTCACGCCATCGCACGTAGGAATAACGGGAAACGAACAAGCAGATCGAGCAGCAAAAGAAGCACTAAACTCACCATTATCAACAAAAATCACCATAGAAGAGAGTATACAAGACAAAACCCAAATAAAGACCGATTCATGGACATTTGCAAACCAAATGGAACCAATCGAAATCAGACCTCAGAGAAATCCATCCAATTCGCGCTCACCACTTCCCACAGCCGAAATCTCGAATCCACCAAGTAAAATTAAATAGACTCCGGATAGGCCATACGAGATACACACACGAACATTACATAACAAAGGCAGAACAACCATTGTGTAGTGCGTGCGGCGTACGCGAAACGGTTCGACATATACTAATAACCTGTCCAAAATATGTACTACACAGAAATACTTGTGCTATAAACGACCTAACAGTACTAACAAAAAACAACAGACTACTAGATGTAACAAATTATTTAAGAATTATTGAATTGTTTGAAAAGATTTAACCTAACATTGGTCGCAAATGGTCTTAGAAACCGACGCGACTTTAAACTTAAAAATAGAAAAAAAATGCATAATTTTATCATAGATACGCAACAACTTTGGGTGAGTGAATGTGTGTTTTAGCATTGTAAGGAAATTAATTATTTCATTTATTTAAAAGGGTTTTGGCAATATAAAGTAACAAGCGCGGTCAGAAATGCAACTTTA